CCCCAAAACCCCAAAACCCCAAAACCCCAAAACCCCAAAACCCCAATTATTAGTAATTTATTGCAAACACATTATATTTAGAGCGATGAAGGAGTCATAGACCTCAAATTTATCGTGTTCATGCTCAGAGTAGCTGGCAATTTGCTGTATGAGATAACATCTTTTCTCTTCTGCTTCTCATCCACCTGGTGCACTGAAATCGAAGGCATCATTGGGGACCCTTCGTCCAAAAATTGGTTATTAATACTAGTCGAAACATTTTCCAAAATTTTGATCTTCCTGGTTTTTCTATTTCTCTCCAAGTCTTCTATTAAGAGTGAAGTCTTGGATTTCATTAGTCTTGGTATTTCTAGTAAGAACTATGCTTTTATACCAAAAACATACCGATTGCTTTGACAATGTTTTTAATAGTATTCTTCATCATATTTTCATCTTTATTCAAATCTGCTATAGCATGGTCACCTTCTTTTAGAGATTCTTTAGTGACAGAATTTTTCTGCTTAAGAACTAAAATATTTCTGGAAGGATTTTTTCTTTCATTAAGGACTCTGTCTTTACATTTCTTCATTCTTGCATTGAGGTTTGAGTATTTGTACATCCTAGGGGTTATAGTTCTGCTTACATTTTGTCGATTTCATCTTCCTCTAAACATTAGAGTTTGATATATTACCTTTAGCCAAGTGGGTCAGAATCCGACTTGGTTTTGGAATATTGGGTCTATCCACCAATGTTGTTCTGAAACGAGACCTCCTAACATTTTGAGGGGTTGGAGTAGAGTTTATTTCTGTCATTAGATTCTAGATAAATAGTTAAAAATTCATCAGGGATTTTATAATTTACAAATAATTGTGCTCCATTTCGAAATTTCTTCTCATTAGTGGTATTACAAGCGGCGTCATGAGATCTCTTTAAAGATGTACTATCTTGATTGGTATTTTTCTCTAAAATTTCTTCCTCAGAATTATTGGAAATGATGCTGTCATTGTCATTTGCTTTAACAGGAAACTTGAAATCTATATGAAAATATTAAGAAATTTGCCGATATTTAAATGCGAATGATAAAGCTTGGAGGCCAGAGCAGTTCAATAATAATCTAAATAAGCAAAATAACCAATTTTTGATCCCTTTTTCATAATTTTAGCAAATCGAATTAACTAAAATTTTGATGAAGGATGCCTAACTATATTTAACTACCCTCTGGTAATTCGGCCAATCTTGTACAAGAACTAGTAGGCTCTGACCAAAGCCTTAGGTTTAAAGAACATCTAATATTTAGCGAAAGATATGCATAAAGCGCAAGAATTTGAATAAAGGGAGGTTAATAGACGATGAGTTCGCCATTCCAACGAGAAAATTATTTGCTGAATTACCAAATTGATACATAATTGATACAAGTATTATTTAGCTATAATCTAAATTCATAAGAAAAATTTAAGTATATGCTTAACCCTGCAATGTTATCTGTAGCATTATTATTCCAAATGTATTAAAATACTAATCGAAATCCAGATGGTTCCTAAATTATAAAGTTTTTATGTCAGCACCAAAATGCGCTCTTTTTCCCAATATCTCATGCTGCCTAAAGTGCTAAGTCTCTGTTTCTAAATCAGACCACTATACTAATGCTTTGACATCGTGCTTTAAGTCCAGAAATTATCGCTTAAATATGAACTAATAATTTTGTCAGCTTTGAAGAATATATTATCCGAAGGCGGATTTTTATTGATAAAAACTCTGTTATTTTTACTAACTAGGGTCTTTTACTTAATTTATATGCCCTGAGGCAGCTACTCGGTCGGGATATCACTAAGAATAAAGCAAGAACAGCTTTGGCAATGCAACCAGAGTTATGAGAAAGTGAATCGATCACTTCTGTGTATACTCCTTGTTTTTATAGACAACTTTCCGAATCCTAAATCTAGAAAACCTTACCTAGAGAAGTAGCCCTAATTTCGGAAACAACGTTATTTGTTGACTTCGAAATTTTTGGATGGGGCAAATGTGAAGAGAAGTAGTCCTGGTTTATCTGGTTCTGACGTCTTAAAGCAGGAACTCCATTAGGAGTTCCAAATGGCTGAGGCTTGTCATATTGTGTCAATATCTTTGATTTTAAGTTTAGCGGTTTGAAAGGATCATAAAACAAAGAATTTATCAGCTTCTCCTTGGTCTTCATTTTCTTCTTAAGCTTTTTCAGCCTTCTATTGGCCATCATTGATTCAGGATTCTTAAGTTTCTCTCCATACTTCTTGTATATTGTCTTCAATGGTAATCTTTTATTTCTTTATCGAATAGATATGAGTCTCTTCTGGCCCATTATTGATTTTAACATTTTCATGGAAGGATTTGAATTGGTCTGCTCTATTCTTACTAATTCTTGCGACAACAGCTATAGGGATCAATTAGACTGCTACTTAATAATTATCCGCCTTAATCTCAAAGAAATCTGCCAAAGCGTAATGTATTTCACCGAGAATAATTTGTCTAAACAGTAGAGGTTACCTTTCATTTTCTATATTTAATAATTTGGAAGGGGTTTTGGGGTTTTGGGGTTTTGGGGTTTTGGGGTTTTGGGG